TTCTTGATACTATAATGTTCCTCTAAAGTCAGATATCTCAACCGTTTCATTTTATTGTATAATGAACTTCAACCTTTACTTTCAGACTATGCAATTCAGTATAGTGTAGAACATAGTTATTCTTATTGCTGTCAATTTATTTTAGATTGTATAAATAAGGAATTTGGTTCTTTAGATAGGCCTTTGTTTATAATAAGACATGGAGTAAGGTTGGCAATAACAAGATTAAGAGATCAAAAATCTAATCATTCTGTTCAAACAGATAATGTAGCTATCTTTATCACATATTTCAATGTTTACTCTGTTATCAATAATATATTACAAAGGGTGTGTTCCATTTTACAACAGGAACCATGACTCTGTTATGGACATTATTGAATATTAAAACATTTTTAGAATGAAAATTTGTATTTCTTAAACTGTGTACTTTGTCTTTAAGAAATTTTATAAACTGACAAGTTATTGTTTCTCATGTTCCTTCACTTATCAAACTAACTTCTTACCTTGACACATAAAGAAGATGTTTAGACTTTAAGATGCCATTTGTCCTAGGTTAATGTGACACAAAGTCAGGGCCTTTTATACATCATGTATCATGCAATCAAGATTTAGTTCTAACATAGGTTAGGGTGTCTAATTGTTGTGCCTAATCATTAAATTCATGAAGCATCAGTACCCAAAAAATAATATCAATCACCTAATAAGTTTTATAGCAATATTGATGGGCACACTGCCCTGTTCGGGAAGAGTAGGTTGAGCAATAGGTAAGTGAAATCACACAGAGACCAAGTTGTTTGTAAGAATTCACATCACACTTTATTTCAAAATTAGTCTTAACTTAAGATGCATCTAATGATTAATAATTGTGCATGCATTAAGCCTAAATGATCAAACAGCTTAAGTATATCGATTTCAGCTTAAAAAACATCACCATAAGAGAAGTTCGTTGTCACTCCACTGCACACGACTTTGGGACCGACTGGGGGAACAGTCAGACTGGAGGGACCCTCTCCGCTGGGAAAACAGCAAAGACCTGCACCACGTGTCTACAATACAGGTTGGTAGCTCCCACCTGAACGCCAAGTTTCCTCATCTTTTATAACTTTTCAAAGGGTGGGCAGTCTATACTGGTCCACCTTATATTATCTTATCAAGTGCAGCCCAGCAAAGACTTGTCACGAGCATTGGATGGGACTGGAAGCTGGACAGGCTGTTCAGGACTACCCAAGATGTCATGTCTGTGCAGTTAGCTTATCTTTTATCTATCTTATGTTCACCCCTAATGGGATTGGTTGTTAGTTTCATGCTATACCTTATCTCTTTGGGCATATTCCAGGTCCTGCACCTAGTCCGACCCTGTCTATTCATGCTGTGTCATCTTATGGCTTATGCCTGAATACATCTTTGACACATCCAGGTCTGTGTTTTGTGCCTTGACTGGACATGTTGTGAGATTAACACCAATCTATCTTAATAAATATCAGGTTTGTTCAATATCAATTAGTGTTACTAACTAACAATTAATATCAAGTTTGCACACCAATCAAAAATTAGTAATATCAGGTTTGCTCAGGAGTGATCAATCAATTATCATCAATATCACTTCACATTAGGTCATGACAAAAAACTAACAACCAAAAAAGGGGAAGGTGTACTAAACACCACTAAAATCAGTGGAGTATGTAAGGTGAATTGTAAAACACCTACCGTTGATCAGGGACAAGGAAATATCGCTGGGAAAAAATTGAATAAAAGCAAAGGCTAAAAGTGTAAAATCGTAGGAAAAGTGTACAATTGTCCAACTCACATGGAGCTGAGCCTTCCAAGATAAGCTCAGATCATATGGGCAGGAGTGTACTTGGTGACACAATCCCATCTTCTGTCCGCTCAAATAGCATATGTGAAATAAATAAATAGTTATCTGGTGTAGAATGTTTGCATCCAAGTTTGACAAATAATGCAATAACAAATATTGCTTACCTTGTATAGAGCCCTCTTAACCTGGCTCTAGGGGGTAACACTCTGTGCCTATAAGGGAACACAACCCTTTTTTGCAAATCAAGCAAGCAGGAGTAGTTGATTGAACTAAAAACAATTTATTACATAAAAACAAATAATTCCATAAATAACAAATAAAAGCTATGTGCAAATAGCAAAGTAAATATGCCAGTTCACATAGGCGTATTATATTTAAGCACTTTGACATTCACAGAGCACTGTGTGATTCTTCATGACAAAAGACTGATTAAGATATATCCATGTGAAATTAACAACTCAAGACTATGTCATTTAATGGCCATGGCCACATCTCTTTGCCAAGTTTAAGTAGATTAGGGTTGTTAATCTGTTTTTCTTTAATTTCTACATGGGAACTTATTTTTTTTATAAGATTTATCATTTTCTAACATTACCTAATTATATTATAATTTTTAATGTATATTTTTTAAATTATAATTTCTCTAATATTACCTAATTGAAAATCTAGGGTATAAATATGTGTACTTAATAATATTAGACACAGAGGGGAGAATGTGGATGCAGAGATGTTGCTTTATTTTACAAGACTGAGAGGTTGACTTGTTCAAGAGGGTATGGTATTCTATTTTACTGATATTGCAAGCATATACTTTAATCTTATAAACTTTGCTGTATATTATTATGATGGATTATTACGTTTTTATATGTCTATATTTATTTGTACTCCATATTATTGAATATATATTCACACTTTATTTCACCCAAGACAATCCCTATTTTGTATTGTTTTCTCAATTATCTATATATTTTAAATAGAGAAACTCTTACCAACTATAAAATATTATTGCTAAAGGTAGCTGTAAGGTCAGCCCTGCTAAATATGATGCTTTAAGACTTTATAGTGGTGAACAGGGGTACCATAGCAGGTTACAGCTCTATCTGACAGATGTGACACACTCAAGAGTCATTTTCAGCAAAGTCCCAAATTTAAAAAAAATCTAAAAGCTATTAGTACACAGGTAAGGGTTGTCAATCCTCTTAGTAATGTTGGCAATTTTAGACGTGGACAGCTTAGATGCTTAACTTTTGGTTTTCTAATCAGTGGGTTACTTCATTTTATTCTGGCTTCAATCTGACTTTCAATGTCTTATCTTTAATAACTTGCAAGACCTCTTACATGGTGTATTTGTTCACATATGTGTGGGCTCCAATATTTGAGGCAGAGACCACTCAAGTCCAGGTTTAGGAAGCATAGATTAGTAATTGTCAAAAGACAGAGAAATAGCCCCTCTGGAATTCAGTTTCACAATACTAGCCCCTGTGGTTTGTCTTTGATGAAAATGGAGACAATGAAAAGTTAGATCATCTAGTATGTTGGCCCTTAGATTTTTAGTACTCACATTGGTCGCTCACTATTACAATTTCATTAAGGTCCCTATTTTTTATATATGTAAATCTTCAAATTTTGACATTAAACCTGATTTTCAATGAGGGTTTAATAATTTTGATTACAACTATAAATATACACACAGTTGTAATCAAACTTATTCAATCCCCATTGAAAATAAGGTTTATTGTCAAAATTTACAAACTTTCAGCTGTTTGCAAAGAACAAATCAAACAAAAGCAATTGAGATTGCTCAACACAATGAATGCTTCAAGTGGTTTACCCAAATTCAACTGAAAATGTAACTTATAATGACTTCTCCAGTCTCAAAATTATTCAACCCCTTCATGGTGGCAAGCATCTTTACTACATAGTAGAGCACCCTTTTGCTGTTATGACATGCTGCAAATGAGATGCATAGCCAGACACCAATGTCTGGCAGCATTCCTTAAAATAATTTGCAAGGGGTTAGGTACCATCTATAAATTAATTTGTAGTGGGATTCCATATGATTTGTGCATTGAGTGATACCTTTTAATTATAATAAGAAATTATTCCACTCCTCTACTGTGTAAATCCCACCCAGTTCACCTTCCCACTTCAACATGTAGTTCAATTTATCATACATGTCACCTGCAAAAAATATTATAACACGGAGATTCTTTGTTTCTGACCAGGGTCCATTAAATACATTTTTCTAGTATAGTCAAATCTAATTTGAACAAGTTCGGATCCTAATCGGAAAGAGTGAAATGTTCACTAATTGTTGTCACAAGTCTCATGTATTTGGGCATCAATTAAACTTAATTAACATTTTTATTTTAGTTGATCAAAAGGCAGAAGGCTATTGGAGTGAAATAAGTCATCAAAATGGACAATCGAATGAGAGGCCCAGTAATCTACATCAAATTCAGATAGAGCATAACGTATTGCTGAGAATGGTGTAGCCATAGACCATATGGAAAGTGGTCAATTTTTTTTTTTTGAACAAAAGGTTCCACATTTTAAGGATTAATTTAGTGGCGGGTAACAAGTCTGCCGCCTTAGGACATGGAGATGAAGGCAACCACAATAAATCTTTAATGGAATGAGGTAAAATTTTACTCGCCTCCATCTCAAGGCATTGGGGCCTGGCATTATCTAAATTAAATTTAAAAGCCATAGCTGCATTAGTAGCATAATAGTAATAAATAAAATCTGGCAAACCCATATCCCCACAATCCTTGTTTTTTGTAAAATGGATAATTTAATCCTAGCAGGTTTTTTTGTTCCAAATAAATGAAACAAGGGCAGAGTGGATTTTCCTAAAAAAGGATATAGGCATAGGGAGGGGAATAGTCATAAGCATGTATACAATTTTTGAAAGGAGAGTCATTTTTAACGAATTAATTTTACCTAACCAATAAATTTGAGACCACACCATCTCTCAATGTCTTTCCTAAGTTCGGATCAGACCTTTTCTAAATTACATCTATGCATCTTGGACAGATTCTTGCACATTTTTTTGCCCAGATAAGAAATATATGTGTGAAGGAATACCCCATCACTTTCGTCTCCTTTCGTATAACGGATTTGTATTTAAAGGGACACTATAGTCACCTGAACAACTTTAGCTTAATGAACATGCCCCTGCAGCCTCACTGCTCAATCCTCTGCCATTTAGGAGTTAAATCCCTTTGTTTATGAACCCTAGTCACACCTCCCTGCATGTGACTTGCACAGCCTTCCATAAACACTTCCTGTAAAGAGAGCCCTATTTAGGCTTTCTTTATTGCAAGTTCTGTTTAATTAAGATTTTCTTATCCCCTGCTATGTTAATAGCTTGCTAGACCCTGCAAGAGCCTCCTGTATGTGATTAAAGTTCAATTTAGAGATTGAGATACAATTATTTAAGGTAAATTACATCTGTTTGAAAGTTAAACCAGTTTTTTTTTTTTCATGCAGGCTCTGTCAGTCATAGCCAGGGGAGGTGTGGCTAGGGCTGCATAAACAGAAACAAAGTGATTTAACTCCTAAATGACAGTGAATTGAGCAGTGAAATTGTAAGGGAATGATCTATACACTAAAACTGCTTTATTTAGCTAAAGTAATTTAGGTGACTATAGTGTTCCTTTAATTTTGCTTTGTTTATTTTGTTAGGTTCCTGAACCAAGACCACCCCAGAGACCCAGTAGAACATGGAACATTGAGTATCTTGTACGAAAACTGCGAAGTAAATAATTAATAGAGTGCTCCACTGGGTCGTTGCCATTTTGTGCATGCGAACGCACGTGGTTGGGATAATGGATGGTGGCCATTTTGTCTCCTGAACGCTGGCAGTGGGACTTGGTCATCGAGTGCCTGGAACTTATTTCGGTCAGGCACTCCCATGAACACCGGTCACCATGGACCCGTTCCAGTACACCTACACGAACGGCGTTCGGGAGTTACAGACTAACAAACACATATACGAATCAGCTTTCAGTTACCTTTTCATACAAAAACCCACAAATGGAGACCGGCTCTTACCATAACTTCCCTGGAACCATTTTGGGCTTCAACCTCGTAGCAGATCGGTAAGAACTTCCCCGTGATGGCGATCCAAAATGGGTCCCTATTTTAGCTGGAAATTTGTATGTCAAGGTTGCGGACTCCTTTAGGGCTATTCCAGACCATGAAGTGCATAGTTATAAGAGGGTGAAAGAAGCCCTCTTGGGTAAAGAAGCCCTCTACACGGTAAACCCCGAAGCATACTGTGAGGCGACCAATCTCGCCACATTGCATTGGAGAAGCCTATATAGAGAAAGGGTGTGTTGGGTGCTCACTCCAAAACAAAAAATAAGTGAGCAGCAGTAACCAATACAAGGATTCCCATCCTTGTAGAAAGACAATGTATACAGAAAAAAGGGAGGAAACCGCGCCTTACATTAAATGTGCATACATACATTCAATATCTGTTACTTGATGTAGATATAATATATCCTCAAGGAGAAAACACAAAGAGAGAACACAATGGTGTAGTATATTTAAAAAGTTAAGAACAGGGGGATGCAAAGAGTGAAGGTAATTTGCACTCACATTTGGTAGAGCTAATCAGGAGCTCTACCGTAATTCGCATGGACGGTACAATCCCCGTCTAAGGATATAGGACCCGGTATCTTCAACACTCCAGTGGTATGGCAGTATGAAGGATATAAAAAAAGAAACTCCAATAATGTAGTAACTTTAGATCAAGGACTAGAGAAAAAATGAATGAGAGATGTTGTACTCACATTTACATATATACCTCTTTACTTTGAAAGTTTTGGAGGGAAGTAGTATCAGACCCTACCCTCCAGGCATATAGGTCACTGGTCCGGATTGGCCATCAAGACGGCAGGCCCGGACTGGCCATCAAGCACACCGGGCAAATGCCCGGTGGGCCGCGGTGGCCATGGGCCGAGGCCGGCAGGGGAGGTTACATGCAGGTCTATGCAGGGCCGGCACTATCCAAGTGCTGGCCCCGCTGTTTTCCATGGATCCTTTACCCCTAAACACATTACATTCCAGACACACACTAGATCCTTTACCCAACTCTGGATCATTTACACACACACACACACTAGATTCCTATATATACTCTGAATCCGTATACAGCAATGTTAAACAGAAATCTGCAAACCAGTCAAGCCATAAGCTTTTCCCACAAAAATCACAAATCTGCAGTGATGTTACTACTGCAAAGGATTCTGGGTGGGCATATGCAAATTAGCTTAACAAAGACTCACATTTTTGCCTCATTCCATTTTAAATATGGATACCTTTTGGTCTGTGTTTGCTGTATACAACAGCTTGGAATGTAATGTGTCTGGAATGTAATGTGTTTAGGGGTGCTGTACATATATACAGCACCCCTAAACACATTACATTCCAGACACACACTTGATCCTTTACCCAACTCTGGATCATTTACACACACACACACTAGATTCCTATATATACTCTGAATCCGTTATATACAGCACCCCTAAACACATTACATTCCAGACACACACTAGATCCTTTACCCAACTCGGGATCATTTACACACACACACACACACTAGATTCCTATATATACTCTGAATCCGTTATATGCGCACACTCACTAGATCTCCTATACACATTCTGGGTCCTTCAAACACACACTAGAATCCTATATATATATATATATACACACACACACACTGCACCACCTCCACACACACTACACTTCTAACATACATACTCTGGATCCCCTATACACACTCTAGATTCCTTGTAAGCAAACACATACTAAACCCCTAAACACACACTCTACAAACACGACATCACCTACACACACACATACACACACACACACACTCTAGCCTGTATGCAAACACTTGCTACATCCCCTACACACATTCTCTACAGCCCCTACCCACATATGCATTCCATTACACCACAAACACAACACAACTAAAACCGACCTTATTACACAATACCACACCACCATCAGCTTACTCTACACACACACAATCCCACAAGCAGGCTCCAAACACATGCACAATATTCTTTCCTGGCACTTTTGTCTCCTGGATCTATTTATAGAGACACCAGAGACAAGTTGCAAGGAAACACAGTGCAAGCATGTTCTTAAATTTGCTTGCGCTGTGCAGAACAAATACAGGGCTTTTTTCTCACGCTAGAGCTCTTCAGCAGAGCTCTGTGCATGGTCTGCCCTGGAAGAGCATTGAACCAGCATGCTCACTTTGAGAGGGGGCGTGTTTGTCATTAGTGATGACAAAACACACCCTCTCTGCCCCGCCCCCTTCTTAATGGGCCGCTGTGATAAAAAAATGCACGGACCAATTTTTTTTCCCAGTCCAGCCCTGGTAGATAGGGGAACGGTTTACCTGGGACCAGGGATTGTTATACCACGTAGCGGAGCAAGGAAGGTCCGGGACAGCTTCTACTACCACCAAACAGCTGGTGGCACCCTGGAAATATCGGCATAATCTGCTGAAGATAGCTCACGATATTCCCCTGGCAGGTTATTTGAGAATAAGTCGTACTAAGCATCGACTCACTCAAAGCTTTTTCTGGCCAGGCATCTCGAATGACCTGAGGCAGTATTGCCAGACCTGTGATGTCTGCCAGAAAGTAGGGAAGCGGGGTGACTGGCACAAGGCTAAGCTCCAGCCTCTACTGTCACTAAAGAACCCTTCAGCAGAGTAGCTGTCGACATCATTGGCCTAGCTCCTCTGGGAAGAAATATATTCTGACCATTGTGGACTACACCACTTGATACCCAGAGGCAGTCGTCCTGAGAAACATTCAGGCAGAGACTGTGGCCAAAACCCTGATGCAAGTGTTCTCCTGGATGGGTTTTCCCCGGAAGATCAGCTTGGATCTGGGCACCCAATCTAACTAACCAACTGTGGAGGTTATGTGGCATTAAACCAATCCCAAGCCCCCCTATCACCCCCAGATGAATGGCCTGTGCAAGCACTGCAATGGCAGTTGAAGCAGATGCTCCATACCTCTGCAGTGACTAGCAAGGATTGGGAAAGATTCCAGCCGCATCTCCTGTTCGCACATCGGGAGGTGCCCCAGGAATCCATAGGATTCTTTCAGTTTGATTTGTTACAGGGCCCCTAGACATGGTCTGGGAGCATTGGGAGAGAGCTGGGGAACAGGAATCGTCCAATATGTGCTGGAGTTTAGGGACCAACTGGAGGAACTCACTCACCTGGTGCGTAAAACTTCAGGCAGCCCAGAGGTGACAGCGCACTTGGTATGATCAGGGAGCCAGGAGCCGTAGCTTTCAAGTCGGTCAGAAAGTTTTGGTTATGAAACCCGTCCGATGTGATAGGTTACAGGCTGTATGGTAGGGCCCATACCGGGTAGTGGAACGGAAATGTGACACTACCTATGTGATCGTTCCTTGCTCGAGTCTTGGGGCTGGACGCCTCTTGTGACGGAACGCTGACACTCCGACTGAGTACCTCCGCCAATCGATGCGCCTAGTGCTCGCTGAGGACTCCAAGCACTCCAACCGACACCATCAGCACTGCAGACCCCACTTCCAGAGATGCAGCTGTGCCGGGGTCTTGCCGTCTCCACCCACCCTGGACCCAAGGCCAGGGTCCAGCTTCCAGTGGGGAACCTCTCTTTCCCCAGAGAGCAGAAACAGGAACAAGCTCTTAGCAGAGCTTAGTGATCATACCCTGGGGAGTATAGTGATTATAGCAGTCCCCAGAGTGTAGTTCTCCAATTCCCCAAACATGAGCCAAGGCTTCAAGAAAGGTACAAGATGGTCTGATTTTAATGACCACACACTGGCTTTTATGCAAGTCCCCATCCAAGGGGACATCCCACATGGTGGGACACAGTACAACCAATCGTTTACAGGAAAACCGTAAAACACACCCAGCACCAAGATACAATCCCTCCCCTCTGCCTGTGATATAATTACTGACCACAATGGGTTAATGTAATTTATCACAGGCAGGAAAAATACACTTTTTACACATATACTGTAACTTTAAAAATATCCATAAAATATCCATACATATTCAGAATCAGCATACATTAAATATAAACATAACCAAAAATCATGCAAATCCTTCCATTAGTTCAAAAGTGAGTCGGAAGTCCTTTGTGACCAATGAAGCATGGCTTTTCTGCCCAAAACCAGTTCCACAGAGTCTTCTATCCTGGAGATAATTGGGAAGTAATCCACTTATCTCCAAGGACAGAGGCAAAACTCCATTGAACACATGGCAGCAAAAAGACATAAAATTACACAATGTTACAATTACTACATAAAACATATACATGCAACATATCCCCAAATAGCTTAGATCTGAGTGCACATTATTACGAAATGGCGCTCAGATCATATACATACAGTTCAATCGCCATGGAGCCAAAGTCTTTTGTTACACGAATAGGCTCCATGGCATAGCTATCTGGGGTAGCACTACTACCATACTGAAAGTCCAGAACGCCCCAGCAGAAATACACAAATAAACCTTTCTGCAGGGGAAAATACAGCTATCAGCACAATGGCCCTAGTCGGAAGGCAGGAGGCTAGCCAGTAGTCCCCTCCAGGCACAAGTGTCGAAGGGCACTTTGTCACACCTGTTACATGTTAACATGCTAAAGCCCTACCATGAGTGGACAGTGGATGTGGCCACTAAATGTGCTCCAGCCTTGGTAGATTTCTATAATATTCACCTTCCTGGTTCTGTGTAGACTACAGGAGGCTGAACGACAAGACGGTCTTGGATGCATACCCCATGCCCCATATATACGAGCTGCTAGATAGGATGGCTCATGACTGGTACCTCACCATTATAGATCTGTGTAAGGGGTACTGGCAGATTACCCTAGCGACAGATGCTTTTCCAAAGTTGGCATTCGTCACCCCATTGGGCTTGTAGCAATTTAGGGTGATGCCCTTTGGGATTAAAAATGCCCTGGCTACTTTCCAAAGGATGGTGGACTGGCTGTTGGAGGGCCTCCAGGATTATGTCTGAGCTCATGTAGGAGCTGTACTAGACCGGATTAGGGAGGCAGTACTAACCTTAAAAACCAGTAAGTGCCACCTAAGGATTGTGGAAGTCCAGTACCTGGGACACTTGGTGGGGTGTAAGACACAGAGACCCGAACCAGCCAAGGTTAAGGCAGTAGCTAGTTGGCTAGTTGGCCTAGGCCCCACACTAAGGTGATGGCTATTTTAGGGACTGCAGGCCCATTATGGGATGTTTGTCCCCAACTACAATGCCCTAGCTAAGCCCCTCACCAACTTGACTCAAAAGACCTTGCCCATACAGGTAGACTGGACCCTAGAGTGTGAGCAGGCATTCCAAGCCCTTAAGACCACCTTGGTAAATGCCCCTGTCCTGTCTGCTCCTAATAAAAAACAAAACAAAAAACAAACAAACATTTTCTGATCCACATAAATGCCTCCATGTTTGGATTGGGAGCAGTACTGAGCCAGGTGAGGGTTGATGGTGGAGAACAACATGTAGCTTATCTCAGCAGAAAATTACTTCCCCGGGAGGTAAACTACGCCGCCATCAAAAGGAATGCTTGGCAGTGGTGTGGGCATTCAGGAAGCTACAGCCCTACATCTATGGACAGAAATTCAAACTACTCACAGATCACAAACCATTGGGGTGGCTTAACAGGGTCTCTGGGGACAATGCCAGGCTGTTGCGGTGAAGCCTGGCCCTACAACTGTATGATTTCACCTTTCACTACCGATCCGGTAAGCAAAATGGGAACACCGATGGGTTGTCAAGACTCACAGAGCTGGAGAGGTGATCTGTGAGCACTCCCCCAGACATCCTCAAGCCGATCCCTGGGGATTAGACTGTGTATGCAGACTTGTGGTTAAGGGGGAGCTGATAGAACTACTGCCTTTTCATGGAGACGCTTCCATATTGTGTCTCTTCCCCAGTAATTTTCGTATACTGTGTCACCTTTCCGTTCGGGAGTACTCCCACGAAAGGAACTAATTTGTCTCCCGAACGGGGACTACCCCCATTTATATCCCATTTAAAACATGAGTTAGATCATTCAAATAGAACCTCGATCATCGGAGCAAGACCACAAAGGAAACAATTAATGAGGGCTCCCCTGGGTGGCCGCTACATAACAGACGAATGCCAGCCGGGGGTGGGGGCATTCCTGGATTGTTTCCCAACTCATTTGTCTCCTGAACGAGGACATCCCAAGTGCCACATTAGAACGTTCCCCCAATGAATCAGAACGTTCGCACTTGCAACATAAATATGAAACTGCAATGTTCCCGCTGGCAACATTGTGTAAAAACAGCAAGAGAAGTAATTAAAATGAGTGCTCCCCTGGGTGGCCACCCTTTCATATAAATGAACGCCAACCAGGGGGAGGATTCATACCCCGAAAGGAGACGCTTCCCTTGCAGGTTTCAGCATCGGAGCCTTGCGAGCGGAGAGTGGTCGGGGAAGGTGTAACCGTGGCTGGTTCCCTTATTTGACAATATAGCTAGAGTTGAGCGGACACCTGGTTGTTCGGGTCCGGCGGGTTCGGCCGAACTTTGAAAAAAAGTCCGGATTAGTGATCAAACTTGACGTCAATGGGGACCCAAACTTTTGGCCACAAAAATGCCTCTAAAAAAGTGTAGGTGGAAGCAGCGGTGGAGGAGGAGGTAGCCAACACTGTTTTATATATATATATATTTATTTATTTTATTTTTTAATTGGGCTAGCCCCCAAATTATTGGGACATATAGAAACAGACAACTCTGTTCCACAGAGTGACTGACCTGTGCGTACTGCAGCTGAAACTCCACTATCGCCTGCTGCTGCTCACACAGTCTCATGAGGCGGTGAGCGGGAAGGCCGAAGTTACGCTGCAGCGCAGACAGGCAAGCAGCAGCAGGGTGAGAACGCAAAAAGTGCGCACAGACGGCCCGCACTTTCTGCAGCAGCTCTGATATATCTGGGTAGTTTTTCAGGAATTTCTGCACCACCAAATTCAGCACATGTGCCAGGCAAGGGATGTGCATCAAACCGGCTAGGCCCAGAGCTGCTACGAAATTTCGCCCATTATCGCACACCACCAGGCCGGGCTTGAGGCTCAGTGACAACAAACACTCATCGGTCTGTTGTTCCATGCCCGTCCACAGCTCCTGGTGTGGGTTTTTTCCCCCAAGCATATGAGTTTTAAAACAGCCTGCTGTCGTTTCCCCCTGGTTGTGCTTAAGTTGTTGGTGAAGGTGTTACGCTGACCGGATGAGGAGGTGGTAGAGGAGGAAGAAGCTGAGTAGGTGGAGGAGGCGACTGGAGGCAAAGCTGTGTACCCAAATAAAGAGTGTCAAACGTTGTATCCTGGAACGGTGACCCATACGGTTACTGGGGAAATGGGTCTGACCTATTCTAATCAAAGGGGATAACCATCGGTTACCCAGGTCCTGCTTCAATTGGTGGTAAGCGGCGGGATCCCATGTCCCTGCCAACAGACCTATGGACTACAGTGCTCTAAAGCAACCTACAGTGCAGGACTTGTGTGGAGTCAGAGGAATAATGCCTGGTGGGCGTAACAAGGCCGAATTGACTGCTGTGCTCATGGAGGACGACCAGGCAACGAACCCCAGCCAAGGGTCGGAGAGGAGGAGGACATGTGGAAGGAGTTGGAACGGCGCCTGCCATATTACCGAGAGCCACCCTCAGAGGAGATTGTCAGCAGTACCTTTTTGGAGTTGCAAGCCTATGTAAGGGCGACCTCCATGAGCTCAGATGAAGGAAGAAGGGAGCAGAGGGCGCCGGGAAGCACAACCACATTGGCCCACAAACTACCAAACAATGCCTTCAAAGACTTCAAGGAAACAGAAGAAGGCATCAATGACTTTTTACAAGACTTTGAGCGCCAGCGCCTACTCCAATACGTGGACCCCAGCAACTAGGTCACCATCCTGGCCAGCAAACTAGTGGGGAAGGCAGCGGATATTTACCGGGCTGTACCAGAAGAGCAGATCAGAGACTATACCTTTATTACCCAAATCCTCCTGGCCCGGTATGCGGTCACCCCCGAGCAATACCACCAAAAGTTTAGGGAGACCCGGAAAGGGGAGAAGGACTCCCATGCGGAGTGGGCATGCCACATCACAATGGCCACCCAGAACTGGCTCAACTCCCATCAAGCCAAGTTCCCGGAGAGCACCCAGCTCGTCATGCGAGAGCACTTTTTCAATGGGCTCCCCAATGACAAGTCGACGACGCATTCGTATGTCATCTATATCAACTTTCGATGCCATTTACTGTGCCTGCCATGGTGACCACGTGTAACGGGGAATCAGGGTTTGATTCCGGAGAGGGAGCCTGAGAAATGGCTACCACATGCAAGGAAGGCAGCAGGAGCGCAAATGACCCACTCCCAATGTGGGAAGGTAGTGACGACAAATAACAATATAGGACTCTTTAGAGGCCCTGTAATTGCAATGCGTCCACTTGAAATCCTTTAACTCTGATCAATTGGAGGTCAAGTATGACCCGTGCGTGCTGCAGCTGAAACTCCACTACAGTCTGTCCAGCATGTGCAAGGTGGAGTTCCACCTTGTGGGCACGTCACATATGAGGCAGTGAGCGGGAAGGCCAAAGTTATGCTGCAGCGCAGACAGGCGAGCAGCGGCAGGGTGAGAATGCCGAAAGCGCGCACAGCCGCTACAGTGAATGTCACATCCTGTTCCAAGTTGCGGATCAGTCTGGTGATGGCTTCTGGTATCCAGTACTTTTTTTACTGAAGCTGCAGGGTCCTGGTATGGGGCCGCACAAATGCTGGTGCTCAACACCAGGTGGTGTGCAGTTACCCTGCACCAGACCCTGCTAATCCTTTCCACACTGTGACCCCTAACTTCAACATCAGGCATACTGGGTCACGGTCATCCGACCGCCGCCCAGACAGTGTCTGGGTCCCAGTGACCAGACTGCAAAACGGCAAATGGCTCGTTAAATCTGTTATGGTTCCTTTTATCGCTCCATCTGTTACTTGGATAACTGTGGGAATTCTAAAGATAATACATGCCGACGAGTGCAAGGGGACGGCCGCTCCGCTTTTGCACCCTGCTCCCTCTTATGCTGTGCTGGTGCCTCTGTGCGACCAGCGCCTCTTCCTCCAAACTGCACAGGTCACTCGCATGACCTTGATTCCATGTGGGGTGTAGGACCTCCTCATCCTCCACATCATCTTCCACCCACTCCTCAACCCTGCCCTCCTTGCCGGTCTGCCCACTGCATAAAGCCACAGCAGTTGGCACCTGTGTTTTTCCAGCATGTAAAGTCTGCAAAGGACATATGGAAATTGTTTTAGAATTGTATCCAGGCAACAGTTTTCCCTATAAACTGACCTCTCAGTTTGACTTGTGTGGGTATTGCCCCCAAATTACAATATTGTTATATTGGTATTTGACGGGTCTATTTGACTGTCAGATATAAAGTGCAGGCCGCAAATGTGCTATTTAGCACCCCAGAAAATTTGAATTGGTCAAACCGTGCTGTAACCACAGTATTTGACGGTTCTATTTGACTGTCAGATATGAAGTGCACACCCCAAATTTACTTTTTATTACCCAAAACAATTAGAATTTTTCAAAGTGCGCTGAAAGCACAGTATTGACGGTTCTATTTGACTCTCAGAAATGTACTATTTAGCAGCCACAAATTTTTAATGTTTAAAAATGCTATGTCACAGCACTATTTGACGCTTCTTTTTGACTCTCAGATATGAAGTGCAGGCATCAAATTGACTTTTTAGCACCTAAAGAATTGGAATTTTTACAACTGCAATGTAAGCACAATATTTGACGGTTCTATTTGACTCTCAGATATGAAGTGCACCGCAGGCCGCAAATGTACTATTTAGCAGCCCAAAAATTTGAATGTTTAAAAGTGCTATGTCACAGCAGAATTAGACGTTTCTATTTGACTCTCAGATATGAAGTGCACCGCAGTCTGCAAATGTACTATTTAGCAGCCTAACAATTTGAATGTTTAAAAATGCTATGTCACAGCACTATTTGACTTTCAGATATGAAGAGCACGCCCCAAATTTACTATTTAGCAGATTATCACCCAGAAAATAAGAATGTTTACAGTTGCGCTGTAACCGCAGTATTTGACCCTTCTATGTGACTCTCAGATATGAAGTGCAGGGCCCAAATTTACTATTTAGCAGATTAGCACCCAGAAAATGAGAATGTTTACAATTGCACTGTAACTGCACTATTTGACGGTTCTATTTGACTCTCAGATATGAAGAGCACGCCCCAAATTTACTTTTAAGCAGATTAGCACCCAGAAAATAAGAATGTTTCAAACTGCGCTGTAAGTGCAGTATTTGAAGCTTCTATTTGACTCTCAGATATGAAGAGTATGCCCCAAATTTACTATTTAGCAGATTAGCACCCAAAAAATAAGAATGTTTCAAACTGCGCTGTAAGTGCAGTATTTGACGCTTCTATTTGACTCTCAGATATGAAGAGCACGCCCCAAATTTACAGTTTAGCAGATTAGCACCAAAACAATTCAAATTTTTACAACTGCGCTGTAACCGCACTATTTGACGCTTCTATTTGACTCTAAGATATGAAGAGCACGCCCCAAATTTACTATTTAGCAGATTAGCACCCAGAAAATAAGAATGCTTACAATTGAGCTGTAAGCACAGTATTTGACGGTTCTATTTGACTCTCAGATATGAAGGGCACGCCCCAAATTTACTATTTAGCAGATTAGCACCAAAACAATTAGAATTTTTACAACTGCGCTGTAACCGCAGTATTTGACCCTTCTATGTGACTCTCAGATATGAAGTGCAGGGCCCAAATTTACTATTTAGCAGATTAGCACCCAGAAAATGAGAATGTTTACAATTGCACTGTAACTGCACTATTTGACGGTTCTATTTGACTCTCAGATATGAAGAGCACGCCCCAAATTTACTTTTAAGCAGATTAGCACCCAGAAAATAAGAATGTTTACAATTGCACTGTAAGCACAGTATTTGACGGTTCTATTTGACTGTCAGATATGAAGGGCACGCCCCAAATTTACTATTTAGCAGATTAGCACCAAAACAATTAGAATTTTTACAACTGCGCTGTAACCGCAGTATTTTACGCTTCTGACTATCAGATATGAAGTGCACCCCACTAATGTACTTTTTAGCACCAAAAAAATTGACTTTTTAAAACTCTGATGTAACCGCTGTATTTGACGCTTCTATTTGACTCTCAGATATCAAGTGCACCCCACTAATGTACTAGTTTGCAGAATTCTTTCCTAATCTGTCACTGAAAGCGGCAGCATCCACTCCCTACACTAATAAGAGCTCATGTGCGTGCGGCGCTACGCGACTCCAGCTTATATATAGAGGCTGGGTCACATGCTGCGCTGGCCAATCACAGCCATGCCATTAGTAGGCATGGCTGTGATGGCTTCTAAGGGCACACGAGTCAAACGCTTGTTGATTGGCTGCCCTGCAGCCTTTAAAAACGCGCCAGTGAGAAGCGCAGCCTTTCAAAACGCACAGTGAGAAGCGCAGAAGCGCCTCTAGCGTCTGTCAATGAGACAGCCACTAGAGGCTGGATTAACCCATTTATAAACATAGCAGTTTCTCTGAAACTGCTATGTTTATAGAAAAAAGGGTTAACCCAAGCTGGACCAGGCACCCAGACCACTTCATTAAGCTGAAGTGGTCTGGGTGCTGTGAGCGTGAAGGTGGAATAGTGGTTGATGGGAGATACATCAGACCTGATTTGCTAAACAGCAACCAGAGGATTTTCAGTTAAATGCCCCAGGGAGAGAGGTTAAAGTTTGCAATATGCATAGCTGATGCTCTGCAAAACCTGGTATGGGTCCCTGGGGCGGAGTATTTGGAGAGCAGGGTGGGCCAATGCTCCAACAGCATTAGTTGCTGTGTAACAGACCACTATTTGGATCTGACTTACGAGTTAGTTAATTGGCACTCACCTGTAGCCAGTCAATTAGTAGACAGGCCTTTAAAAGAAGAGGGCAGCCTGCTGCAGAGTGATGGAGAAAAAGACAGCTAGGAGAGATTCTGTTTATTGCAAAGACATTTCTTTTGTTTGGAAAATTGGTAAGTGGGAAAGCCACCCAATTGCAGATAGCAATTACTGTCTAGTAAGAGCTCAAGTAAGAGCAAGGGATTTTGTTTGTTTTTGTTATTATTTAAAGCACCTGTTTTCTTACTGAATAAAAAGGAAAACCGAGCTGAATGTGTCCTGGACTTTGTATACCCTAGAAGGCTGTGGTTACTGCAAGATCTGTGACAATCCTACCTGTAAAAGAGGTGGTTTGTTACAGTGCCTATAGTGGTCCTTTAAAGCATAGAACTTAGCAGGGCTAACCATACAGATATCTTACCCATAATGTTATATAGTTAGTAAGAGATCCTCTATTTAACATATATAAATAATTGAGAATACAATATAAAATAAGGATTGTCTTGGAAGCAATAAGGTTTTGTCTTTTAGATATTTTATTAAATAAAAATCTAAATATAGACATAACATCCATAACAATAATTTATAGCAGAGTTTATAAGATCAAACTAAATGCTTGCAAATATCATTAATAGATTAACATACCCTCCTGAATGTGTCATCATGTTAGCCTCTCTCTCATTTTAAGATGGAGCAGCATCTGTCTCCAAATCTCTCCTCTCTCTGTGCCTTAACATTTAAAAGTACACCTATTTATACCTTAGGTGTCTTCATTTTCGTGTTACCTTAGTTCATATATGAAAAAGTAACACTTTTATTTTATTTATTTTAAGACCTCCCTTAACTTGGCAAAAATGCAACTAAAATGTAAGGGTGCACATGTCATGGAAAATTCCCTGATGGCATCTTAAAGTCTGAACATCTTATCTATTTAGGGTTATATTATCTACTGAAAGAGTTGTAGCATAGCCTTGAAGCTTGTTTATGCATTATTGTTATTGTGTTTCGCCCGGGACAAAATGGCATAAACATATTATGCAATAAAAGTAGATGAAAGGTTATTGCTTAAAGAAACATGTATGAACATTGTTATGTTCCATTTCTAACACCTTGTCCATTTGCAATATCTCTTAAAGACAAAGTAAACAGTTTGAGAAATACAATATTTGCATTTGCCCATAACACCCTCGCCATTAAACTGTGGGCATTGTTGATTTCTTCCTTAAATGAGTAAACCAAAGTTCTCCAACAGTCTTCAGGTTTTTATGCTCCCAGCATCTTTGATCATTGTAACGGTAAAAAAAGTAGTGTGATCTTAGCCTTAGTCTGGGAAAGAATAGAAAAGAACATCAGCTTCCAGAGTAAGATATCCTTGGATGAAACCTGATAGAAATT